GAAACGCGAGGCTGAGGCTGCCATAGATACCACCTTACGTAACCGCCGTGAGCGCAAGCCTGTTAGGGGAGAGCCGCCCCCCCCTCCGCCTGCCCAGCGTTCAGGATATGCTCTGGGGTGCATAAAGATGCTGCATTACGGACAGGCTGTACATAACAAGTTTCCCTTCCTCCTCTTCCCTGCTAGACGCCGGCTGTGCCATGCTCTCCCGCGGCCAGGGGGTGGCACACGCTCTTGCAGTTTCCTTTGCAATAAGAAGCGGCGCTGAGCTGCGACTGCATCATGATCTTACTGCTCCTTGTTAAAGGCAGACGATGAGCACTACATCCCACGAGCCGTGCTGCTGGACCTGGAGCCCCGAGTTATCCACTCCATCCTGAACTCCCCTTATGCCAACCTCTACAACCCAGAAAACATCTACCTGTCTGAGCATGGAGGGGGAGCTGGGAATAACTGGGCCAGTGGCTTCTCACAGGTAACAGCTCTAGTGCTCCTGGGTGCAAACACAGGTCAGCTCGTTAGGCATGAGCCTTTATTGTGGCTTTCTCATGTCAGGCTCAGTACACGGTTTCTGAAGAATACCTCATCATTCAGCAGGGACTTACACCTGACATTTTGTGGCACCCTGGGGCAATCTGACTTGGCTTCACACCAAGCTTGAGGAGCTCTTCTCCATCTTCTGTGGGAAAAGAACAAATCCTGGTCTGGTCTCTCTTGCAGGGAGAAAAAATCCACGAAGATATTTTTGACATAATAGACAGAGAGGCTGATGGGAGTGACAGTTTGGAAGTAAGTAAACCAGGGGATTTGGATCCAGTTGCCCTACTTGGTGTTTTCAGAGCCAGGCTGCTGTTTTATAAGGTTGAGCTCAGCCCTTCGGTGTATGCAGACTTCCACAACTTGCTTGTGGGTGCCGAGCAGAGAATACGTAGAGAGGGGAACTACGGAAAGGAGGTCTTTCCCATCACTACTACATCTGCCAGGCTTCCCCAGAAATCTTCTTACTGTACGCTCAGCAGGGCATTTTTCTGCCCCAAATACTGCTTGCATTGGGCACTTCCCGCAGGATACAGTCTGCAGGAAGGGTTCCAGGCATTATGGTGCTTTTTCCTTTCCCTCTTCCACCTCCCTCCCATGGCTCTCCCCCGTGTCAGCTGAAGCAGGACACACACTGCTTGTCCTCCAGTGAAGGCCCTCGTGGGTAGGGGGGGCCGTGCTGGACCAAGGCACCTGCTGCCCCTCTGCCTGCAGCAGAGGAGGGAGCCTTGGGCTGCCAGCAGGAAGGTGTTTAGACCCGGAGTTGCTCAGTGCTTTGAAATCTACGGCATGAGCGCAGGCAGCTGCAGCTTCATTTTCTCTCCAGCTGGGTTAAAGGGGCACCAGGGGTACTGACAGCATTTCAGCTGCTTTGCCGTGTGCCTCTGGCAGGACCTTGGCCACCGTCCATGTAAACCCATTTCCTGTGCGTAGACAGACAGGGCTCCCTGCTGTTTGTGTCAGGCTGTCACATGGCAACAGGGGAAGGGAAAATGTCGTCGTAAAATAAGTTGGCAGAAAATCCAAGAGCCTGTGGTGGGACCTGCAGCAGGTGGGAACTGCCCTGAAGTCAGGTAGAGGGGGTTTGGCCTCGGGCACTCTAGAAGGAGGGGAATGGGATGGAAAAGAGCTGAGAACGTGTACTTCCATTTTGCATGACCAACTGGACCCTGAAGGTGACGCTGGAGCTATTCTGAAGTCTGTTCTGGGGTGGGAGGAATCCAGGAGGCTCCTGAGCCGCAGTTGCACTTTGTGGTGTGTGCAGAGATGTGGATTCCACCCACACTGGCAGAAGTGGCCTGATGAGCGTGTGGCTGTCGCTGTGGTCTGGAGGAGCCAGGGCTAACCTGCACTCCGTCCACAGGCGTCAGCTCTGTGCTCTCCGTTGTCACGGGGAGTTCTTGCCCTGGCTGGCAAGTCTCTGCTGGAGCTGGTGGCGGTGGCACAGCGTGCTTTGCTCTGCCTGCTCGTGGGGCTGAGCTGGACCTTGAGCTGCCTGCATTCTGCTTCCTTCCAGGGGTTTGTGCTTTGCCACTCCATTGCCGGTGGAACGGGCTCCGGGCTGGGCTCGTACCTCCTGGAGAGACTGAATGACAGGTGAGCATTCAGCCTTGTCCCCTTCCCTCACAGCAGAGTCTGGCCCAGCCCGGGCACCCTGCCAAAGCAGGGAGCTGGAGAGCGCTGACTCAGAGCCACCGCCCCCACCCAAACACTGTCTTGTGCAATCCCTGGCATGCTGCCTGGGGAAGGGATGGCTCCTGATACGCCTGGGGACTTCAGAGGCTCTGAAACTGGACTTATGCTGTCCAAACTCTGCCTTCCCTCAGCCATTCTTATCAGGCAGCTGCCTTCTGACACCCTGACTGTGCAGGGGAGGGTGGGAGGCTCTAGCTGTGGGCTCTGAGCTGCCATCCCTGCCTGTTTCAGCTTGCAGCCTCTTGAAAAGGCTTGTAAGCAGCTGCTTAATCAGCCTGCGGATGGCTCAGCCTTGCCTGTAGCTCTGTCTGGCAGCCTGCTCCTGTACTGCTAGGGTAGGCACTGCTGGGACAAATTCTCTCCCTCCCTGGGAGCTGACTCTGGCATGCAGCGCTGGTGATTCACTGCTGTCCTGAGCCCTGGAGACTGCAAAGGGAGCTCGTGGGAGGAGAGAGTGCTGTCTTGGTAGTGTTAACCCTTGAGATGGCTCGGCTTTCTCACCAGGTATCCCAAGAAGCTGGTGGAGACCTACTCGGTTTTCCCAAACCAGGATGAGATGAGCGATGTTGTAGTCCAGCCATACAACTCTCTGCTGACGCTGAAGAGGCTGACTCAGAACGCTGACTGCGTGGTAAGAGTCCCGCTGTGTGTCAGGCCAGCAGCGCAGCCAGCTCCTGCGTAGCAGCCCTGTCCCCAGCCGCTCAAAAATGCAGCTTTTCCTGGAACAAGTGCCACAGCTGTGTGGGGTGAGTGTCGCAGCAGCATGCGATGCCCCAGGCGCAGCAATGAGTGCACCCCTGTCCAGAAGGACTGAGCAGATGTGGTGACTCCAGGGATAAGGGCTCTGTGCTAACCTGTGCTGAGCTGTCTGGCTTGGCATTTCTGCCTCTGGGATCCAGCAGATTCTTCCCATGGCAGTGAGGACCGGCTGTGCTTCCTCTGCGTAGCTGCGCTGCAGCCTTCCACTTGAACTCAATTCCAGCATCGCTTTCAACACCCACAAGCCCCAGCCAGGCAGCATCTTCAGTCTGCACCAGGGCTTTCAGTCAGGTCCCAACCAAGACACTGCTCATCCCTCCCAGCTTCTCTCTCATGTGGCAGGGCAAGGGCAGCTGCGCCAGAGCTGCTGGGGCTGAAGGTTGCTGCAAAGTGCTGACCCACGGGCAGTGCTTTGGGAGAGCGCTGGGGAGCACAGCCAAGACGGGAGGGAAGAGCTTCCATTGACAGTGTCAGTTACGCTCCACAGATGAGTCAGCTTGTGGTTTCGAGTGTCTGCTACCTGCCACGGTGGGCTCCGCCAGGCCGTGGCGCTCGGGGCCTGTGCTGGGCGATCCGGTGCCCTGGGACACGTGGCTGGGGCTGCCCTTCCTCAGGCTGCCTCCGAGGCTCTTCACAGAGCTGGTTTTTCTCTTGCAGGTGGTTCTGGACAACACAGCCTTGAATCGGATCGCGACAGACCGGCTGCACATTCAGAACCCGTCGTTCTCTCAGATCAACCAGCTGGTGAGAAGGGCTCTTCCCTCTGGAAAAGCCGGCGTGCGGCTTCCCTGCTGTCTTCGATTCGGTCTGAACCTGCTCCATGGACTGGGCGCGATGGTGGGCAGCCTGGAGCCGTGAATGAGGGTCTTTTGCCCTTCCCAGGGCAGCCTCCACGGGCACTCCAGCTTCCCTGGCATGTGTGAAGCAGGTTTTGAATGTACTCTGTGACCACACAGTGATGCTGACACTGACCCCATCCTCTCCCCCAGGTCTCCACCATCATGTCTGCCAGCACCACCACGCTCAGGTATCCTGGGTACATGAACAATGACCTCATCGGGCTGATTGCCTCGCTGATCCCCACCCCCCGGCTGCACTTCCTCATGACGGGGTACACACCGCTCACCACCGACCAGTCGGTAAGGCAAGCCCGCCAGGCACTCCTCCCCTTCCCCGAGGGCAGGAGGAGCTGCCACGCTCACCTTATAACATCCGTCAGTCCCATGGTCTTGGTGTGAGCTGTAATTGCGTGTTCCACATCCCAGGCCTGTGTGCCCACACCACGTGACAGCCACGTGTGATATGAATCAGACGTGAGCAGGGAATCGTGCTTGTGCTGGGCTACCTGCTGCATGCATCAGGATGGCTGCAGCAGCTATGGGAGGGCCGACAGTATCTGATCTGACAAAAGCCACCCTTAGAAACGATCAGAGTGAGCCCAGCAAAGTGGCCCTGCCAGTCCTGCCACCCTGGTGGGCCACTGGCCCATGCCGTTTGGGTCAGAACATTGTTGATCATGCTGAGACTGATCGTGGGTTACAGGCATCAGCCCCTTCCCGGGGCTTGATCTGTGTTCTGGGCGGGGATTGCCACCCCTCAGCTGCATTGAACACTACTGCTTGCATTTAGCTCGTCCCCAGCCAGTGCCCCCTCACCCCCCCAGTGAGAACGGGGCAGTTCTGTTTTGAGAGGCACTCACCTGCGTTGGCCACGTCTCAGTTCTGCTGGGAGCTAACAGCTGCTGTTCTCCTCTCGTTATGTGCATTTCCTCAGGATGTTACTCAGAGAAGCAAATCTGAAAAACTGCTGGCTCTGAAAAGGGTATCATCGAGTGTGTGATCTGTTCTCCCAGGGAGGAGTGTGGGGAGGGCTCAGCCAGCAGCTCAGACGGTGCCTGGAGCGGGTCTGACACACTTCCGAGCTGTCCTTGCCACGGGCACTCCTTCGGGTGCCAGCCCTGGCTGCGGCCCCCTTGGCAGGCAGCAGCTGGGCAAAGCCCATGACAGCCCTTGGGACTGCAGTGGCCGGTCTGCCCATGGGCTCAGTGCAGGGCGAAGTGGGGAAGGGGTGCAGCGGGGAACGACCCCTCTCCTGTCCTCCAGCCCTGCTCCTTGCCTCGGCAGTGGAACAGGACAGAAGTTTGACGGCAACAACACGAAACTTGTCCCTGTCACTCTGGTCTCAGCTGAGCTTCTCCCCAGCCCCTGCTGTGCTGCTGGCGGGGGCAGCTCAGCGCCCTTGTGTTGGAGCCTCTGCCAATGCCCCAGTTCTCAGCCTGGCTGTGCCTGTTGTGTGATGTTGGGATTTCCCTGTCCTGCATGCAGCTTTGCACATGGCTCCATCCCCAGCGCGAGGGCTTCTCTGTCCAGCTGCCCTCTGCTCCTGTGTGCGTGTGCAGGGCAGCGGGAGGGCAAGGGAGCAGCATGCCTGCTCCCTCTCACCCCCGGCTGGCGTCTGCAGGTGGCTAGCGTGAGGAAAACCACAGTCCTGGATGTGATGAGAAGATTGCTGCAGCCTAAAAACGTGATGGTGTCCACAGGGCGAGACAGGCAGACCAACCACTGCTATATCGCCATCCTCAACATCATCCAGGGGGAGGTGGATCCTACGCAGGTGAGCTCCCACGGCTGTTTCAGATGCTGATGGAAATGGTGTGGCTTGCCAGGGAAGAGCAAGCCACACCACGCCACCCCTGTGGGGGGGGTCTTCCTGTGTGGGGACCCTGGGATGAGACTGAGCGTTGCCCGAGAACTGGCTCCACATTGCTCCTGTGTGGGCCCTGGCCTCGTGGAAAGGCCACTAGTCCCTCGCCGTGAGGAGCCTCTCTCCCTGCTGTTTGCTGAAATCCACCTTCCTGAGGCCATACGTCGTGCGATGAGCAGCTCCTGGCTCTGCTGGGAACAGGCTGCTTTGCCCGTCACCGTGCTGCCCCTTTCTCAACCCACCAGGTTCACAAGAGTCTACAGCGGATCCGGGAGAGGAAGCTGGCCAACTTCATCCCCTGGGGTCCTGCCAGCATCCAGGTGGCTTTGTCCCGCAAGTCCCCCTACCTGCCATCCGCACACCGCGTCAGCGGCCTCATGATGGCAAACCACACCAACATCTCCTCGGTGAGTGCCTTCCCTCTACACAGAGGGCAGTGCTGGGGCCCCACAGCTGCAGCTCTGACGTTCTTTCAGTCGCAAATGCATCTTCTCTGGGGCTTTCACAAAGCCACGGCAGGGCCTGCAGATGAGGGGAGGGCGGGCAGCTCCCAGCTGGGGCACAGCAGGGCTCAGGTCTGGTCTGGGGTCCCGTCAGTCCTGCTGCACCCCTGGTGCCGTTCTCCCAGGAGCAGGCTGCAGCAGGACTCCCTCTCCCTGGCCAAAGGCAGCCTCGGAAGCACAAGCTGATCCTGAGTGCTGGCTGGGCGCAGAGTAGCAGCTACTGCTCCGCCCGCTTTGGGGCGCCCGCCTCGCTCCTCCTCAG